TTGAGACTTTATGTAATTTCGTAAAATATACTCATGTAATTTGATCATAATTGGATCATCTTATTGATAATGACTTCATTACGGTTTTTTTTTTTTGCAAAAATTGCAAAAAATAAGTAAATACCTGGTAGAGGTTGTAAGATAGCTTCATACGACTCCATGCTGGCTTTTTCCAATTCTTCGGCGTTGGATAACTTCCTGGGCAAAGTAGCTCCTTCAAAAAAATGATAATAAAAAGGTGTATTACAGGTCATAAGAGTTTGCTTGAGAGTTCAACTGTTATCAATATGCACAAATTTCAAGAGCACTTGCCCTAAAGATCCTTACATGTACACCTAAACTATCAATCAATTAGACTTGCTTCAAATAGAAGTGCTCTTTAAACAGAATTGTATGGCGAAATGTTTGCAATAGCAAAGTATGAAAAAAATATAACATATAAGTACGATGAGTAAAAACAATAAGAAGAACAATCCCTTTATCATGCGAAAAAATGAAAATATAAGAGACAGGTTTTACCCTTATAACGACTAACATGCTACTGATAAAAAATTAGAGCGGAAAACCCTGAATATTGGCCAATTTGAACAAAAACTGAAACCTTTCTATATTATCATTTGACTAAATACTGGTTATAATGAAAATATGTTTGAACTAGGTACCTATTTTTTCTCTTAATTTGAAGCTGTAGTAGATCAATCCTGAAACCAAAATATCAATGTGATTTTCATGCGTTGTCTCTTTGGTATAATGCATGAAAATTTTCCTAAATAGGACCTGAATCTCTCTACAGATTCGCAGTCTGTAAGTCCTAAACCAGTAATCATTCTTGGGCTGTAGAGAATCTGAATAGGGAATCAGTATATTAATCATATCATTGTTATATATTTAAATTGTCTTCAGATATTTATCATATTACACAAAATCTTATATGTCTTGTACTGATTTCACAGACTATGACTTTCATACCTGACAACCAACTGTATAGATTGGGATTGATAGCACATTGTTCTCCAATACTCCATTTCCATGTTTCTGGAACAAGCAAGCTAAACTAACAGTTATGACATATCATATCATTTAAGTTAC